TAAGCTGGCTATACGAGTTGTGTTCATTTGAGTTTGCAGTGGCAGTTTGAAAAGGAACGCGATTATCCCCTGTCTTAATTTCTCCGTTCAAACGTAGAATCGAAGAATGAAAATGAAATATTTTTCAAAGTTATGTTTAAGCTTTCACCCCAGGTTCTGATACAGGATGGTGGAGTGTAACCACAGCAGGGCTAAGCAAGCAGCTGTTGGCATATCCTAAAGCCGAGCAAGTTAAGCCTGCTTTTCCTATCCTCAACAAGATGCTTCTTTTCTAGAAGGTTGCTCTCATCTGTAACTGCTTTCTTTCCTTCTTGCCCAGGTCAATAACATTAACCAGCCTTTAGAAATAACAGCCATTTCCTCTCCTGAAAACTCCCTGAAGAACTCTCCTGTTCCTTACCAGGACAATGACCAGCCCCCAGTGCTGAAAAAGGAAAAGCCCCTCATTCAGACCAACGGCGTTCATTACTCTCCTCTAACATCAGATGAAGAGCAGGGATCTGAAGATGAGCACAATAGCAGCAGGTGAATGCGCGGGCGTAGCCTTCGCGGTGAGATTTTGGCGATAGCGATGCTCTGGGCTGGAGGGCTGTGCGGAGCCTCCTTCGTTCCCTTCGCTTGGAGGCTGGTGCCGTTACGCCAAAGCTCCTACGCGGCTGAAATTGTGAATAGAATTGTATAGTGTCAGGGGTTGGAAGGGAGCTCTAGAGATGATCCAGTGCCACCCCCTGCCAGAGCAGGGTCACCCAGGGCAGCCCCACAGGAACGCGTCCAGGCGGGTTGGAAAGTCTCCAGAGCAGGAGAAGATGTTCAAGTCCCTTCATCATCCTCGAAGCTCTCCCGGAGAGCTTTGAGGAGGATGAAGGGAGTAGGTCCCAAGGAGACTCCACACCCTCTCTGGGCAGCCTGGGCCAGGGCTCCGGCACCCGCACAGCCAACAAGTTTCTCCTCATGTTGAGGTGGAACTTCCCATGTTCTAACTCAAACCCATCATTCCTTGTTCTGTTGCTGGGCACCACTGAGCAGAGATTGTCCCCTTCCCCTTGACCCCCACCCCTCAGATATTTCTCTCCGTTCCTAAGGTCCCCTCTCAGCCGTCTCCTTTCCAGGCTGAACAGCCCCAGGTCTCTCCGTCTCTCTTCCCAGCAGAGATGTTCAGGATGTTCAAGGGATGGTATTTAGGAAGTAGTGCTTGAATGTAGGAACTACCATTGCTCTGATTGCAAGGCTGTGGAGTCTGGCCTCTGAAAGAATTAGTGTAGAAGTGGTTTCTTTCTTTCTTTTCTTCTTCTTTTTTTTTTTTTTACTACATTGCTTTGTAGGAGTACTGAGGCTCTGGGTGGGATCTTTAACTTACTCCCAGTTTCAGACAGATTAAAAAAATCTTCACTTCCTGCCCCAAACAGCCGCTGTGTTGCTCTGAAAACTGAGTGCTTGCCTTTGCCTGCACCTGGGGTGCAACTTGTTTCTTGTTTAAGGAGCTGGAAAAATAACCGCTCTAGAAATGTGAGTGATGGCCCCGCTCTTGTTGTGAAAGCTGGCAACAGGGACGTCTTCTGACTGGGCACTAGACTTGGCAAAGAGCAGTAATTCCGTGAGAGCTTCTGCTATAAGTTTGTGATGGATTTTTAAAATGTTCCTTTGACAACTTAACAGATATCTGCCTGACTTGGCTTTACTCTTTGAGTCGTGAACGCGAGGATTTGTGAGGCTGAATGTGCAGCAAAAGGTCTGTGCTGAGTGCATTAACCTTTTTATTTCCCTGCTAGAATTGAGAGGAAAATTGCAACAATATCGTTGGAAAGCAAATCTCCACAGAAGACTGTTGAAAATGGTAGGTGTGAGGGATGTTAATTATTTGTTGTAACGGTTGTTATTTGTTGGGAATGGGTGCTGCAGCAGGTTTTTCTCTGCTGCTGAGCCGAGTGCAGTTCTGCCAGGGCTTTGCATAATCGTAATTAAGACAGGTGGCTGATAATTGCAGATTGTGTGTTGGTGCTTTCTGTAATCGCAGGTCACTGAAGATCTCGCCGCTTTTTATGCTGACTCGGGGTTTGGGGAGGGATCTGTGGCGCAAACACTGAGGAAAAAGTAGATCAGCGTTCTCGAACTTTTTTGGAGCGTTAAACTAAACCTTAAGGACTTTTAGGTGACTTCACAAATAGTTCTGCCTTTGGATCGGAAATAGAATTACAGACCGATGTGTCAAAAGATAAAACCCTGTTCTTGATGAGCAGATTCAGTGAGTGCTGGTTTTTGACATTTATAAACTTTCTTCCAACCTAGGTGGCAGCTTATCTGGGAGGAAACAAGCACAAAACAACGAAAACATGAACAGCAGTAAATGGAAATCGACTTTTTCACCGATATCTGACATCAACCTGACCAAAACTACAGACAGCCCCTTGCAGTCGGGTTCATCCCTGAGCCAGAATTCGCTGTTTGCCTTCAGGCCCTCCTCCGAGGAGAGCCTCGCCATCGACGCCAAGACCCACGCGAGGAAAAGCATCGCCGGGCCCTCGGCTGGCGCCGACGGGCTCAGCCCCGGCACAAACGCCACCAACGGGTTCGCGTACAACGGCGGCCTCTCGGCCGATGTGGGTTTGCACGGCTTTATCGACGGTGCTTCTCACCCCCACAAGGCTTCGGACGTGACGGCTTCCAACTGCTCCCTGGGTTTCCAGTCGCAGCGAAGCAAGGACGGGGGCGTGTCGGAAACGAATCCTTTTCTGAACAAGAGGCAGCTCGATGGCCTCGGCGGCGCGAAAGGAGAAGACTTAAACCGCTCGGGGGTCAAAGGCAAAGAGCTCGGCGAAATAAGCGTTCGTACTGGGGGTTCTTCGGAAAAAAACTCTTTGCAGCATAACGGAAAGGTCGGCAAAGGAAGAGACCGAGACGTGGAGTTTAAAAACGGCCACAACCTTTTCATTTCTGCTGCTGTTTCGTCTGGTGGCCTTCTGAATGGTAAAAGCCTTCCTCCTGCTGTTTCCTCAGCAGGCAACCCAGCATCTTCTGTTCAGACGCACCATCCTTTCCTAAACACTTTGACCACTGGATCGCAGTTCCCCCTGGGCCCCATGGCCTTGCAAGCAAACCTCAACTCGGTGACAAATTCCTCAGTATTGCAGTCCTTATTTAATTCAATGCCAGCTGCTGCCAGTCTGGTCCACGTGTCATCGGCTGCAACCAGACTGACTAATTCTCACACTATGGGGAACTTCTCTCCTGGGGTTACAGGTGGAACAGTTGGAGGTAGGCAGAACTCTTTCTCTGGTATAAGACAGGGCCTAAAGGAAGGTCTGACACTGCCTCTCCAGGGCTGAAACCCTTTCATTTCTGCAGGATGTGAAGCAGATCTGTCCCACATAACCAGTCTCCTCTATCTCTCGGCAATGCTAGGATGAGTTCAGTTCCCCACAGTGAAATCTCATGAGCTTTCTCTGCTAGATGAGCTTGTTGTATCACCTTAACGAGCGAATACGCCCAGACTTTGTGATTTCCTAATGTGTGCTTGTTCAGATGTTGCTGTGTTGGAACCACCTTAGGTCCGCCTGCAGGTAAAAGATTTAACTGGTCCTGGTACCGAGTTAAGGATCTCTAACTTGTCAACTCGAGGAAAGGTTGAGATTAGTAGCGGGACCCAGGAAGAGCAGAACATCTGTGCCTCTTCAGAGGAGATGGTGTTGGGAATTGCGTAGCGTTCTGGCTCTTGAATGGACACGAAGAGCATTTCTTTGCCAGGAGGAGCAATGCCATATGCACCTTGCACTTCTGGGATTCTGCACAGGCTTGGCTTCCGTGGCCCAGACCGGAGACCAGCTGGCAGGACTAGAAGATAGTCTGAACCTGCCGTTGCTAAGTGTCCGAGGCAGTTTTTCTTACCATAATCATTCAGGCACCATGTCGGGAAATCCTAACTCTCACATCTCTCAGCACGTAGATTTGCTGGAAATGCAGCCTCCCCTCCGCTGCCCTGTAAGTGGGGAAGCAGGAGGGTGGGGAGGGAAGAGCAGCAGTTTGAGTCTTCAGATAAACGACTCTAGAGACCACGTAATCTCATCAAAACTCTGCCCGCGCGGTATAGAACTGGCAGTTCTTGGGTCTGACCATTTTTCCTCGTGGCATTTAGAGGTTGGCAGTAGGAAAGGTAAGTGAAATCTTTCGTACCTCCTGGCCTGCACCATTATCTCTCATTGCTTGCTGCCTTCTCATGCTGCATATTTTTGTATGGGGCTGTGACTATTATAATTTTGCTTTTTTTTCTTTTTGGTTTTGTTTCTCTTGTCACTTGAGACTGTACAAAGCCCATCTGTTGAAGCTGAGTTTTTCTCTCCTGTTTGCAGGTATTTTTAACCATGCGGTGCCTTCTGCCTCCTCTCCTCATCAATTTGGAGCCAGTTTCAGCAGCAGTGCTGTCTCTAGCAGCACAGTGCTAAGCTTAAACCCTCTGCAGGCTGTTGCCAGCACCTCATCCTCATCCTTCCCACCCCCTCCCTCTAATTTAGTAACATCTAGCGAGACTAGATCTGCTCAGCACCTCAACAGAGCGCCAGTGCAATCTGTTTTCCATTCCCCTCCGCCCCCTCCTAACGTTTCATTGCCCCCACCTCCTCCATTGCTCGCTTCTAACTCCGAGCCTGCGCTTCTGCAGAACCTGCCACCCATCCCGCCCGGCGAAGCTTTTTTGCCCTCCTCTTCCGCTGCTTCTGTCCAATCTGCTAACGCTTCTTTGTCTATTAAGCTAGCTTCTCTCCAGCACAAAACCTCCCGCCCCTCCTTTACAGTCCATCACCCGCCTCTGCCCCGCTTGGCGCTGGCGCAGTCCGCGCCCGTGATCACGCAGTCCAACGCCGCTGGCACGTCCGCTATGTGGGTTACACTTGGCATGCAGTCTCCTTATGCTTCGCACCTTTCTGGGGTTAAGCCACGATAAAGAGCTTGCTTAGCTAAACAGTTCTTATTTTGTAAGGTAAGGCTAGAGAAAACAAAAGAGGAGTTTTGTACAAGATGCTGAATGACGCTTCTTCCTTTGCAGAGACAGGTTGGGGAGGGGCTCTGTTGATCCGAGGGACCTCGGAGGTGTTGGGGAGCAAAGAATCTGGTGGCAGAGGAGGGAGAGGCTTTAACGCTCTCTGTTCTGGGAGTCAGGATTTCTCGACAAGGAGCGCTCACAGCGGTAGCTCGGCTCCATCTCATCTGACCTTAGGGTTATGTTCAGGTTGAGATCGCTTTCCCGAAAACGTTGCTTTCTGAAGATCGGTAATCAGGAGGAAATGTCTGGTTTAAGTATGGTTTTATAGAGTTCCTGGAAGTGGCTGGTGGCTACTTTTATTCCCCCCTCCCCTCTCCTTGCCCTCTAACACACACCTCCACGAGCCCGCCTTGGCGTGGCCTTAGGATGCTGCTTTGCGACTGCATGCGGGCTTGTTTTTACTGTCGGCCAACAGCAGCCGCTCAAAATAATCATAAAGTTACCAATCCCTAGGTTCCAAACTGCAGCTTTGGGGAGCAAACGCACGGGTCTTGCGTTGCAGTTACCGTGCTCCTTGCATCGACGGAAAACACAACCCCAGGTAGCAGAAAAGGGTTGTGGTTTCTCCGTGCGCCGCAGCTTTATCGGACTCGCCCGCTTAGGGCTGACCGGGACGGAGTCCACCCCCAGCCTCTGGATTTACGCTCGCTGGGTAGACTGTGAATGAGAACGTAGGGAATCTGCAGGGCTCGCTGCGGCCCGCGCTTCCTGAAGGCTGGGGCCGTCGAAGACAGGAGGGTTTCTGTACGCGGTTTTACCGCAGCAGGTATTTCGATGTTTTTAGAGCGACTGCAGAATAAAGTGTACCACCACCCCGGAGTTGGGTACTGTTGTTAATGGAACGCTCGCTGGGTAGACTGTGAATGAGAACGTAGGGAATCTGCAGGGCTCGCTGCGGCCCGCGCTTCCTGAAGGCTGGGGCCGTCGAAGACAGGAGGGTTTCTGTACGCGGTTTTACCGCAGCAGGTATTTCGATGTTTTTAGAGCGACTGCAGAATAAAGTGTACCACCACCCCGGAGTTGGGTACTGTTGTTAATGGAAATACTCTGTGGCGTCCTCGTCGAACGACTTGTGCTCGCAGAGTGAAATCGGTGGGTCAGGCCCCAGAGCTTGCTCCGGGCTTTTCTTGTAGGTCTTTGGTGTTGCTGCTGATGCCAAAGCTACAGACGATACAAAACATACGCTTATGGCTCAATCACAATATACCCCAGAGATGCTTTTGACTCTGTGTAGTATCTTCAACACCCAATTGCTCCCCAGACACGAACAAATCCTCGTTAGGCTTTTGTAAAGCACGTAAGTATTGCCTCCACCCTTCTCTACAAGAAGGTGAGGCTGAGGAAGAGCGAGGAGGAGCACGGTCCCTGCGTGCCAGCGGGGCCCAGCAGTGCGACGTGGTTCCAGACCGGGCTTGGAAAGCCGTGAATAGAAACGAGATGGGGGAGACGGGGCGAGGAGGGGCAGGCTCTGGGGTTTGTCTGTTTGAGAAGCAGCTGAAAACCTTCTGCTGAAGCAGTTGCCTCTCCTGGAACTGAGGTTGTAGACTCTGTGCTGTCGGGTACGATGGTCCCTGTCGTGGAAAAGTTCTGAGCAAAATAGGCAAGGCACGAGGGTGACAGATGGAGCAATGTAGGCAGGTGACAAAGCTGGACCGCAGAAGTAATGCTGCCGGGAGATGGGGGTGTCCCATAGCTGTGGTGCCGCTCTGTGTGACTTGTGAACGTAGGTCAAATATTTGAGCAGTTTCATTGACTTCGGAGCGAATACATGTGCTCGGAGTCCTCAGTGAACCCTGGGTGAAATCTGGAATGGGGGGTGAAAACCAACTGCTTTGCTTCTCGTGTTTTTTACTCCTTCAAGGTACTAAAAGATGAAAAGCGGATTAAGTGTGTGCTAGAAAAAGGTGAAGTACTGAGTGGGGCAACGCTTTTTTTCCCCACTCCCACCTGAGATCAGTGGCAGGAGGACAGAATTTGATGTGGTTACGCTGTCAGGAAGCTTTTTGGGATTGGTCAAGCCCTTTTTTATTTTTTCCAGCGTTGGGAAGACCGACCATAGCGTGTCTATACTGGTGCAATAGCTGGGAGGGGCTGCGTGTCCCTCGTGGTGGCATCCTTTCTGATCGTGGTTGGGTCAAGAGTGGCTCCTTCTTTGGTGACTAACGATGTCTTGGAGCACTGTAGAAATGATTGACACGTCTTACACGGTAGATTTCTGTCTTTTTATTTAGATGAGTCTCTTCCTCTCCTCCTGTTGTGCAGGTAACTAGGATTTCTACCTCAACCCAATGTGACCTATGCAAGGACAACGTGGACCAACTTCACTCGGCTTCCACTGAAAGGTGCTCACCTGGCCTGTGCAGGGGTTTCTACTCTCTTACTACTGGACAAAATAAAACCATAAAAAAGACCTAAGCAACAGAGAAAATATTTACTGTGAATCTGAGTGAAAAAAAAAAAAGGAAAAAAAAACGGAAAGAGAAATGCTTAAAGCTCCAGTTTGTATTGTTGATAGTTTAGCTAAAGTATTTATCTTTTTTTAAAGTGAAAACGATTTTGACTTATTTTATTCCACCTAGAATCATAAATACAACTTATTATATTAAATTCTCCGAATAATAAAGGACTGGCACACCAGCAGAGATGTAAAGAGCCTCCTCTCGGTGCTATTTCATCCGTCAGAACTGTGCCTCTAGTTTGAATCCTTGGTGCTGAATTTGGAGGGTTGACCAATGCCAAACCCAGTTCTCAGACAGGTCTGCAGCTTCTCTGTTCGACTCGCTCTGTTCATATTCCAGACCCCGCTCGGTTTGCAGCAGCCTGAGCTGCAGAGAAAGGCTTCCCCTCGCTCGCGTTCTGTTCAAGCCGGGCGCTCTCTTAACTGGGTGCTTTTTCGTGGCGTTTGTGACGAACGAGAACTCGGGGCTCCCCTCTGGAGCGGCAGCTCAAGTCCCTGGGGTGGCCCGGGCGGGCTCGGCTGCTGTGGGCACAGTCTGAGCAGAAGAAATTCCATTGGAACTACTTCCCTGGGCTATTTACAGTTGCTGGTGGCACTCAGGTCACTGTGAATTCCGGTAGCTGGTCCGGCCGCTTGTTCTGGGGTGCCGTTGGCGTATGAACAGGGTGTGTGATCACTGGGATTGGTCAAGCCCTTTTTTATTTTTTCCAACGTTGGGAAGACCGACCGTAGCGTGTCTGTACTGGTGCAGGGAGAGGATTTTCTCGGCTTGTCGGTTTTTTTCCGAGTACGATGTATTTTCTTTGGCAAGGGTTTGGATACTTGATTCAGAAGTGGCTTAGCCGTGTGCATTTATCGACGAAGCGCGTTTTGCTTTTGTATTTCCTTTGCTTTAAGTAGGTCGAAATGGTAGTTCACAAAAACACCGCAATCTAGCTGACCGTGCTGCCACACCATCAAACTGGTGCCGTTAATTGTGCTGTGACTTGGTGTTCTGTGTACAGAAAGCGCCGCCCCGAGCGGCGCCCGTATTTTATAGAGATGTGATGAAAAATGACAAATTTCGTATACTTTTATTTCATTTGTTGTTTTTTTGTTTTAGATTGTACAATGCACAGTAAACTTGTAAAAACGTAATTTATTTGAGTGCACAAAACAAGGAGAAGGATGACCCGTTAAGTAGAAATCACGCTGGCCTGTTGTTCCGACCGGACCAAGCACCAATAAAGGAAACTGTGGTCAAAGGAGGGGAGTGACAGCAACATGACTGGAACAACAACACGGTTTTGTTTTGGGAAACCTCTGCCTGCCAGCCCCAGTGCTTTGAGGGGCAGCAGTTCTGACAGAGGCACTCGCTGTCCTTAAATCCCTCTAGGTCGCTTCCCTAACGAGTCTCCTGCCTCCAGCAATGGGGCACTCACCTCCGAGCCCAGCTCTGCCTTAGCAGCCGCCTGACGGAGCAGCCCGTGGCGACAAAAAGCCGGGCTGGATGCATCGGCCGCTGAACTCTGTGCTTGAAGTGCGCGCGATCCCTCTGCCCTCCCGCCCTCTCTCCTGCCACCCGGATCCGGGAGGAGCAGTTCTGAGCTCTGAAGTCGAGGTGCCATAGCAGCTCCTGCCCTCTGCAGCCTTCGGCTCGACCCTGTTCTCTGTACCTCACCCCTGGCCAGCTTAGCAGAGGCTTAGGATGATGTGCTAGGATTTTGTGGATTCCCATGTGTGTCTTCCCTAGGCAGTCTTTGGGCGCAGAAGCCATTGGTTTAACTTCGCCGCCTTATTTGCTGCAAAGGGAAGGGAGTGATGGCCCTGGAAATGAAAGACGTTTGGAAAGTGTTTTCCTGCTTTGCCTGTGGCGAGGTGCCCTGCTGAGTTACTAACAGTGAAATGAAAACCTGGAAAGGGGCGAAAATGCTCAGAGGGTGATCGCTGAGAAACATCCAGTAGCTTCTAGTAGAAGCTGTACACGGTGTATGTCCTGGAATCCAGGAACACAATGTAACCCAGATGTTTTGCAGCTGGGAGTTGGACAGCTCCAGCTTCTTCCAGATCCTTGGGGAAAAAACTGCCAGAGCGTCCTTCCCAGCGATTGGCAGAGCACTCGGGCTTTTGAAAGCTTTAAATGGGCAGCTGTGCCTGAGCAGCTGCGAGAGGGGCAGCAGCCTTAATTACGTCTACCCCGAAGAGAAATGAGGAAATCCGAATCAAAGCTTTTAATCGCTTTGCTTTTCTCAGACCCGTTTCTGAAAAGGCACCAGGACATGGTGCTCCTTGGACCTCTTGTGCTCCCCTTCATCTCAGACCGCCGAAGGCAGCCAGCAGGAGCGCTCAGCTGTCTTCTGCTCGTAGCTGAGGTGCTCACCAAGGTGCCAGTTTGGAGAAGGAGTTGAGTCGCAGAGCTCTTCGCAAGCCCTGCTCGAGGCCCGTGCCGCCCGGCCGGCTCCCG